GTCTCACACATACAAGCTTGAGGTAAGAGGAGGGCTTCCAGAACCACCATGTCCTTCTTGCTGGGTGCAGCCCAAGGCCTCCATGGATGGCTAAAACCTCAGCCTGGAACGCATTATGTACACTATATTTTTTCAATGCACAGATACTTATTATAAAGTTTAATTTATGAATTAGCACAGTAAGAAATTAGCAACAATAACTACTAATAAAATAGAATATTTATACAACATAGTATAAATAAAGACATTTAACCACACTACTCAAAATGGAATACAAAACTTCCGAATTTTTTATTTCTGGAATTTTCCATGTTGTATTTTTGAACCACAGTTGACCACAGGTAACTGAAACTATGAAAAGCAAAACCACGGATCTGAGAGAACTACTGTACTTCAAATGCAAACTCCTGTGTGGTTTTAGGTTTCTGCTTGAGTGCTATCTACACAGAAAGGTATTCCCTGCATGTCCTATGTGTAACAGCAGCTCCTCCCTTATGAAACATATGCATACTTCATCACAGTATGTGTCCTTGACTTCTATAGATATTTTTTCAGAATATAAGGGCATGAGGTAGCTCTTGTTCCCCTAGTATCTAGAACAACTTCTGACTCAGGAAGGTTCCCGGGAAACATTCGTTGGATTACTAGTGATTTATTGGTACAAATGTACCTAGGTACGTGGATTTTTTGTCAAACAGTACCTCCTTCATTGGGTGTAAGTAAAGAGATTATTTTCTAGAGCCAGGTGATTTTCCAGCGGTAGAGTTTATAAGACAGATGCAATAGGAGAACACTGAGACAAGAGTTGCTGCTCTCCATGAGTGAGCACTTGCCACGTTGAACCAGAGAATTGAAGCTGAATACAGACGGAACTGGAGGGAGGATGCACAAATGGGGAAAATCCATTCACACCAGTAAATAATTAAGGTCACTCTTGATAAGGCTGTCAATTGCCAGGCAATCCTGTTATTTCTCAACAACTTATTCCTGTTTTCTACAAAAACACCTTCACTTTTCCCAAATCAATCCCTCCCTCAATTGCCCTTTTAAGTCAACATATTAGCAGAGGCCCCAGAAAGGACAAAGAATGCATATATGGAAATAGTTGAGTGGGTGAGCTGCCTGGATCTCAGGGAGTGGTGGTAAGCAGTGAAGAATCAGAATTTCTGGTTCAGGTGGATGCCTGAAATGATGGTGAGGTCCAGGGTTTGGCCAGGAGATGAGATGGCTTAAGTGGAGTGAAAGAGATGGCCACTAGAGACCAGGAAGTCACACCGAGGGGCTTGCAGGTTAGAGTGCTTGTCCACATGAAGCACTGAAGTCACCCAGGTTAACAGTGGAACTTCAGGAAAATGGAGGGCCAGGAGCAAAGGGCCAAGTCCTAGCAAGTAAGGGACACAGTCAAGAGTCTGTACAGGGAGTCCTGATGGCAGGAGCCTCACCGCAGGTGAGGGAGAGATAGTGTGGAGTGTTGATCAGGAGTAAAATAGACATTGCCCCCGTCCCAAGATGCTAGGGCACTCTAGGTGCAGAATAAGTAGTAATCTCCAGGAATCAGAGTCTCTAGGGGAAATCCAGGTAAAGATGGGCAACACAGACACTCAATGGTGGAGAAGTGGAAGAAGAATGAAACTTGCTGGTCATCTTATGGGACTTCCAAAGCATAGCTGGGGAATATAGGAGGGAGACAGAGGCCAAAACTGCAATTTCAATGTCTTCTCTGCCCAGATGTGTCTCTAGCAGTCTTCCAGCCTTAATAATTCCCTAACCACATCTAATAGCGAAGGCAGTCCTGTGCTCATCCTTCCTTTCTGTAGTGTTATCTGAGCTCAAGTCAGACTTGTAGGGAGATGGTGAGAGAAGTGAATTCTCATGCTTAATTCTGCATATAACCCCTGACAATTGCCCTAGCACAAAGTTGCCAGCTTTCTGGAATGTTCCTTGACCACGTGGTTCCCTGCCTTGGAGAATACTTTTCTGAACGTTGTTCAAAGTCTAGCTTGGTCTACCTAATAACCTCTGCTGGCATTACCACTTGCTCCACCATCATCATCCTGTCCCACTAACTGCTTTCTCAGTGCTCTATTGGCCACCTGAATTGGCCCCTGAGCTTATAACAGATACAGGTTCCCATGGAAATATACAGGTAATGTGAGAGAGGTTTCATTTCCTCCTGGGCCTCTGTGGCCAGGCAAAATGCCTGGGGTTCCGGTAGCCAAACCTAGCCTGGACCCAGGCAACTGGGTTATCCTTAAAAAATGCTACTAAAGCTACCACGAGCTATGCATTCATCTTCAAAATATGTCAAAAGTGTTCGACAAGAAGAATTGTCAGAAACCTTTACTATGCCGTCTGCAGCCTCACCTTGGGGAATAGCGGTGGAGAAACAGTGATTCCAGGTCTCCTTTCCAGAGTGCCTCCTCTTAGTTCCTTGACAGAGTTAGCCTCTACCTATCCTGCTGACTGCCATGCATGGAGAATGGATTTGTGACCTGTTGGGAGAAAAAGATTTCCCGGGAATCTTGTCACTCTGGGTATGGTTACCCTGCTGCCCCAGTGAGTGCCCACCGGTGCTACCTGCTCACTCTCTACCCCATCCCATGGTTTACTCCCTGCTCCACCCACACTGGCCTCCTTTTCTGTTCCTCAAACATATCTACCAGGCCTTTGTGTTTGCTGTTCCCTCCGCCTGAGATGCCTTCTTTCAGATATTTGCATGGCTCAGTTCCTCACTCCTTTCAGGTCACTGCTAAAATGTCATCTTTTCAGAAAGGACTACTCTGCCTGCCCCATATGAAATAATAATACTCCTTAATCCTTTAATACCTAGACGTTATTCTCCATAGCATTTACTACTGTTCTGTGATTTAGCCATGATAGGTTAAATAATACCATAACAAATCCTAAGATCAAGTGGCTTATAATGTAAGATCTCTCCAGCTTATACTAGGTTCAGAGAGCCAATCATTAAATTTTTAGGAAGTTTGGGAGTCAGTTGTTACACATAGCCATTTAAAAAAGTCAAATTATAAAAAGAATTAGTTATGTATCACTTCTTGATCATTTTACTACTATTATAAGAATAAAGTTATTATATATAATATGATCTATGCCCTTGAAGGTATTTATGATTATTGTGTCTGTATGGTAGGAATACTGTTTAATAACCTACTACTGTACCCTTCTAACTAAATCTTCACCCAGGTGGTGCTATATTGGAATCAGCCATATTGTGAATGTTCACACACTGCTGAAATCAATAAGAGCTACAAATTGGAGTTTATTTATTTATTTTTGTGCTTTTCTAGATTTAAGAAAGTGATGGGATAAATATTTATGATAAAGATTCAATTTAAAGGTGTGTCATGACTGCACCCATTACAATGTAAAAAGCACAAAACGCCTGAGACAGTATTCTAAATTTATACTGGATTGAAAATGTAAGGTGATTGAACAAAAGTCACTCACATTGTCAGTAAATGAGTGAAATTCTGACATGATTCTTCATTGTTTCACTTTCTCTCACTTATAACATAACTGAATATATCAACCAACATTCAAGTTGGAACCATGCTCATTTGTGAACTGTAACCATGGGCTGATTATAGACACAAGACTTCATCAAAAATGAACCAAAACATTTTGTATCAATAGATATATATCATTTCAAGGCTACTGTGTATTTTATTAACTTTAAATGACATCCTTTATATCAGTAAACCCCATATTAAACACATTCACACGTGCGCATGCTACCGCACTCCTCCCTTGGGCAGATTGTTGTTATACATCTACTGGCCTGCCACTGGGTTTATCCTTCATGTACTCTCTACATCCAGTCGTGGCCCTCTGTTCACGTCCCTCCCTCTGGGCCTAGGGAATGGCACTTCCACCATCAGAAGCATTGCTCATTACTCTGTTAGGGGAAAAGGGCCATAACAAAGGCTCTTGTCTAGACACAATCTCCTTCTGGTCATATTCCACTGATAAAATAAGAGGGCAGAAAAGTGCAATCCTACCATATACCTAAAAGGGGGAAAATGAGAGCAAAATTATGAATAGCCTAACGAGTACCACATCATATTAGGTGTTTTGAGTTTGTTGTCTGCCTCACTCCCATACTTGAAAGTCACTTCCACCTGAGAGCTGTTTGTCTCAACTGCCATATCCCGAGCACCTTGGAGATGCTCAATATTTTCTGAATGAATCTTCAAGGAAACTAACCTGGAGGAGTGAGGCTTGGGTAGCTCTCATGGATCAATGGAGAGGGTCATCATACCATGTTTTGTCCAAGTCTTAGTAAGTAATGTGTTTGTTTCTCAGTCCCCCCAGTGCAACTGGAAATGTGTGGCAAAGGGAATCACATAGATGCATGTGGTTCTGAATTATTAGAACAGGCAAGTTAGGCACCCAAACAAAATAAAGACACAAAATTAAGAAGGTGGCACCCTCACATCCATGCAAATGCAGTCAGTCACAAAAGGAGGTGGTTGCTTACATTTGGTGTCCTAGTACCAGAGATCCACCCCCCACCCCCGTTTTGTTTCTACAGTCAGGTCTCCTCCAGAAACTCTTGGTTCCATAGTTTAATACAATTATTGAGTACCTACTTTTAGCCAAGAAAATACTACACTAGTCCTTCATGCAACTAACCAGTACTTAACTCTCTAGTTATTTCCTGTCTGTAAAAAGAACTTGAGTCTTGGAGACCTAACTAACACTTCCAAGGTCAATTAGGAAGTGGCAAAACCATGATCTGAATGAAATTTTTATACATCTTATGTCTGGCTTTTCTAATCTAGGACTCCTCCACTAACGTGTGAGGAGACAGAAACCACTATTTGGGCCACACAAACTCAAAACACTGGGGCTAACTGACTTTGCACAGATAACAAAGCAAAGCAAAACAAAACACACACACACAAATAACACAAGCACGTTCACATTAGATTCACATAACAGACTCACTGAATTGAAAGAAACCCCAGTTTGACCATAACTGCTTTTTTCTTTCAGTTTTTATTGAACACAAGTATTCTGACAGAATGCAAAGTCAAAATTCTCAGTTAGTACTCAGTATTTACACCAGTGAGAATGGAAACAAAGGTGATGGTGATGTTTCACTTGGTAAAAAGTTTTATAACAAGAGAGAAGGCCCCCAAAGTACAGAATGTTGGGTAGGGATGTTAATGGAGGTCTGAATACCACCATTCAGACAGACAGCCTAGGGTGAAAAGCTGGGACATGGGAGGTTCCATAGAAAAGTGTGAAAATAGAGTTCCACTTCAAAGCTGCATTATATACACCACGGCCCTTCAGGAGTGGGAGACCCTGCTCATGGCACCCGAGTGCCCTCCCGCAGAACTTGGCCATGACGGTCTTTATGTGAATACATATGTATGGCACATACACATATAGACACATTGACACTGAAACTGGTGGAGTTGATGCCTCCTTTGGAGAATTTAAAAAGGAAAATCATAAGCTTTTATCTCTTAACATAAAAGATAGGACATCTTGAAAATAAAGTGACTCTTTGATTTTAGAGAAAGTATTGATCGCTAAAAAATAAAGAAAGGAAAGCTCATGCATGCTGAGACAAATAAATGTCTAATGTGAGAGAGGCAGACTGAAGCGTGGGCAGTCTTGGGTACCAGCAGATGGTGGGGCCAGGGTTCTGGGGGGATGGTCAGCTGCATTAGGCCAGGTTGGCTGAGGGCTGACTATACCTAACCATCAGAGCCAAAATTGGTTTGCCCAACCACAACCACTTAAGAGTGAAACACATGGTCTCCAGGAGGTATAGCCTGGCCTTGGTCTAACTGGTCAAACCACTAAGGTCTTAAGATGAGAAACTGATTCCACTGAACAGCCCGGTGACCAGAAGTGTCCACCATCACCACCATGCCCTCTCCGCCTCAGGTGCCCACTTTCCAATTCTGCCAGTGCTCAAAGAGCTGTCTTCCTTCGATGCTTTTTCCCAAGGGCCTGTGCCTTTGAACTATAGATCTCTGTAGGCCCTAGAATCAAAGGGGCCAGGACTGTGTGTTCTGGGATCCTCCATTTCCATCCCCAGGAGCTGAGAAAATGCAAAATAACCCCACATTTAGCAAATGACAAGACCATTGTTTTTCACAGTTTGAAATGATAATCTACCATTGCCACCGATTGGACTGCAGAAGCGTCAGAACATGGGGGTGTGCGGCCCAGAGTGGATGCAGAGGTGGTCTTGCCACCTTAACCTCTTGCTGCTTTGCACTTTGGAAAGGAACGCATGCCGGAGGATCAATTTCAGCTGTCTTAGCGTCCTCTTCTTCTTCATCATCATCATTTATATTTTATTTTCTTTGTTTAAAGGCTTCGATTCCTTTTAAGTTATTTTTGTTTCCTGAATATTTTTCTGAACTATCTGCTATACCTTCCACAACCAAACTATGTTGAAGTTTTATTTCAATACTATGACAAAAACACGTTTCACACTAAAATATTCACGCATCCACAGTGCACAAGCTTGCAGTTCTAAAGTAGAATGAGAAACAAAAGCAAAATTTCTATACAAAGGGCTGGCTTTTCCCTTCTCCCCCCTCCCATCCCCCTTAAAGTTTCTGTATTTTTTCCCCCACTTGGTTTCCAATCCAGGACAATTGTGTTATGACTCCAGACAGTAGGTTTTCTTTTCTTTGTTTCTACAAATGCTGCCTAAGTGAACAGAAGGCTGATGTTACTTTACTTCAACAGATTTCCAAAAAAAGACACTAATTCCCTGAAGCACACATGCTCTTCCGCTCAAATCTAGATTCTGGGCTCAAAAGGAAATGGTATGTATATATTTTATCTGACTTTCTACAAAAAGGGGATGTTTGGGGTAAAAATGTGTGTTCACCAAGACCAGCCCCAACTATACAATCCTCTCTGCTTCATTCAACAAAGCCTAAGGAGTCCTTCAGAAGGAAGGGCGAGGACGCCTGGGAGGCAGATCCTTTGTCACAGACACAGCCAGGTGGCAGCTAATCAGAAAGTGGTCTAACCCCCAATGAAACACAAAAGAACCCAAACTCAAAAGGCCAAACCATCCTAGAATGAGACAGATTTTCACCTGATTTGGACACAGGCAAAAAACTGCAAATCAGAATGGGATGGGGGAAGAGCCACTGTAAACAATCACCTTTTATCTCAGTGCCCTGTGCTAAAGCAAGCCTGTGATGATCCCACCAACCTTTAGGCGGTATTTGTTACTTAAAAAAAAAAGGCAACTATTTTACATGGACATTTAAACACAACCGAAGTCAAACATTTGTCAACTTGTAAACACTGGAAAACAAAGTTGGCAGAAAGGAAGGAAAAAATAAAATAAAAACAACACAATGAAAGAAAAAGAAAGCAAAAGAAGTCTGAATACTGCAAATTGAGATCTACCCCCAGAAGCTGCAATTTGGCATTCTTCCTACAAAACAAGAGTCTATGTGGGAACTGAATTCAGCTAGAAAGGGTGACACACTTTGCATACTGAACAAATACAAAGTGAACAGAAATTATAACTTATTTATGAGGTTTTACAGAGTTTGAACTTGACTGAAAGTATAAAAATAAACTGTGGACTTTGTTCATTCGGTTAGTCTTAGTGCCTGAAAGTATTTCTCTGAAACTGGTCTATGCCAATTGGGTAACAACAAGTGTGGTCTTCCTGAACCTAGATTTTTTTTTCTGAGCTTCCTAGATTCTTAATTTGGGGTCCTTTTGTTTGATTTTTAAATGGTTTCAGGGAACGGAGTGTCCTAGTTTGGCTGTGGGTTTAACTTTTTTGTCTCATTTTCTTACAAGTGAGTGCGCAACAAAGGAGCCCTTTCTATAAACCTACAAAAAGGAGATCCCATGTTTATCTGTTTAGTTTTTTTTTTTAAAGGCAAAAGACACTAGAGGAATGAGATTGTGTTGTGTGTGTGTGTGTGTGTGTGTGTGTGTGTATGATATTGGAAATGCTCTCGTGAAGCTGCTGTGTCACTTTTTATTTTGATCTTTGCTCGCTGCTTGTCACCCATCATGCTTTGCTCTCGTTCTCCTTTGTTTGTGTGGCGTCGTTGGGGACCGTCTTGACTTCGGCTGGCGCTGGCTTTGTTTCTGACTCCTGGCACTCCAACTTTGCTTCTACTGGGCCCTTCCTGCAGAGAATCACGAAAACAGCACGGCTGAGATCCCAGTTGACAGGCATCTCCCCCCTTCTGCCCCGGCTCTCTGGGATTTCTGGTGACAGCCCTCGTCTCCAAGTAGGATGAATGCTGGAATTACCATGACCCCAAAAATCCTGGACATAGGACTTTTAAAATCACCCAGGTGACTCTAATCCAAAGCCCAGGTTGGGAAGCTCTGAGTTGGAATGAATCCTCTCCTGCTCCAGCCTCAACTGTTGTGAGGATGGTGCCTCTATGGTGGGTGGGTAGGGTAGGGTGAGGTGGCTTTCCTTAGGGGAGGGGATCGAGGCTTGCTTGCTACCAGGAGTGAAGTAGGCACCATTTCCCGATGCTGACATTCAGGGGAAGCGGTGACAGTCAGTTTGTAGCTTTTAGTGGCAGTACACGACAGCTTATTTGGGGGCAGTCACAGAAACCTCCATAAAAACTCAGGTCTGACTCTGCCTCCACAGGTTCCAGGAACAAGTCAGGCTTGAGGACTCAGAAGAGGAGGTACAGACCCCAGCCTCAGGTTTGCCAGCATCACATTTTAAGAAACCTAAAGGTTGAGGTCTTTCCCTGGAACTTAGAGGTCCAACAGGCATTTGGTGTTTGGCAGCCCCTGGTCCTCCCAAGCCCTCTAAGAGCAGCAGAAGCCAGGGTGGGTGGGAAGAGCAGGCATCTCAGCCAGTGAGTATCAGGGCCCTGCACTGCATGTTCCCTGCACAGGACCTAAGGGGCTGCCTCTTCCTTCCTGCACAATAGAGCCTTGCTAGTGGGGACTTGGCCTGGCCCTAGATAGCACACCAACTATGCCCAGGGTGGCAGATAAGGGCACCTTGGCCTTTTTAGTGCCTTCCCAAGCTGTGCTTGTCAGTGGCCTGACTGCAAGGCACCCCAGGGAAAGCAGAAGCACTGCTTGGATGATAAGGATGAACTATAATTAACATGGCCTAATTAGTGAGCTGGTGGCTGCTCCACTTGCCCAGGCCCTCCTGCATCCCCTGCTTCTGCCTCTTCCCAGCCCCTTAGATGACAATCGCCACAGAGTAGCCCTGGGCGAGGGTGAGGACACATCTAACAAGGAGGACACAGCACAGCGCAGACGCACACCACCACAGGACACAACCCGACAACAGCAGACAAAGAGAGGCCGTACTCGGTCTTTGCTGGTGCAGGTGACACAGAGCTGTCTGCAGTGGAAGGAGCAAGCTCGGGGGCTTGTCCACTGGCCCCAGCGGCGGGAGCAGGAGAGCCCAGGGCTGCAAAAACATCCTTTGCAAGGTCAATATCTGGGGTCTTGAAGTTCCCTTCGTCCATTTTAAAGTCCTCGCCCTGGGGAGGGTTTGTGGTGCTGATGGAGGCAGCCTCGCTCTTCGGACTAGCAGGGGCTGTGGCTGCCTCGGGCGGGCTCTTCACAGCGCCGGGCTGGGTGGGCTCTGGGTCCAGGCCTTTGGTGCTGGGAGCCTCTTGCTTGGCCTGGGGGGTTTCTGTGGCAGGGGCAACCGCTGCTGCTAGCGGACTGGCTGCCCCTGCTGGGGTGGGGGCTGGCGTGGGGGTCGGCTTGCTGGCTAGAGGGGCCTTGGAGGCCTCTCCTGCACTGGCTGGGGTGCTGGGGCTGAGGACAGCTCCTTGATTAGCCAGGACACTAGAGGACAAATTGCTGGCAGCAGGGGCTGAAGTTGGGGTATCGCTCAGGTCAACAAGGGGGGCGACCTTGGGGGTTGAGGCTGGGGATGGGGAGGAGGTGGTAATGCCGGGCCCCTTGGAAGGGGTGGCCTGGCCAGCCGGCACAGAATTTGAGTCTGGTGCAGCCGTGACTGGTGGGGCAATACTGGAGGTCAGGGTGGTGGTCTCACTGGTGGGGCTGTTCTGAGCAGTGGCAAAGGTTTCGGTGATAGTGTCAGAGTTAGTGGTGACGGTGGTGACAGAAGGCAGCATGTCCTCGACAGTGGCTGTAGTGTCAGCAGGCAGCCTGTGGAGAGGACAGGAAGTAGAAGAAAATAGACAATGAAAGCTGAAACATGACAGAGAAGCCAGCAGCAGGGCTGAAGCCAAGGAGAGGGGCCATGGGTGGGCATGCACAGGCAGGGACACAGGTCCACAGAAAAATGAGGACACTGAGAGGAAGCACACACCCAGGTGGACAGAAGAGGACACAGGAGACAACAAAGAACATGGCAGTGTCAAGGGGACCTGCTAGCCCTTCCTCCCTGCTGATGTCCCTCCATCTCTCTGCACAGGGCTCCTGTCCCTAAAGGCCCATCTGAGACTTTCTGATGTCAGACCCCGGGTCTCCACTCCAGGAGACAGGCTTCAGCCCAGTGTCCATCTATTCCAGGCTTCCTGGGCCACAGAAGAATGAGGCCCAGCTGCCCTGCAGGGCTCCCAGGGCAGGGATGAGGAAAGTCAGGAATCAGGCAGATGCTAGGTGCTCTGAAAGGCTCCTATGAGCTGTGGGTTCTTCCAGGCACAGATTTTGTGGTCCTGTGAAATTCTGTTCCTTTCTAACCCATCTGATCTCCCATAGCCAGGCAGGGATTTTCCTAAATACAGCTGGACAGGGTCCCTTATGCTTTTGAGCAGATGAGGCCCAGGGAATTTAACCAGGTAGGTTCCCAACTTCTTTGAGGTGTTTTTAGGAAAGAAAAAAAAAACAAAACAGAAAAGCCTAGAATTCTAAAGAACCCTAAACAGAATCGGCCAAGCCTCTCTCAGTCAGGTTTTGTCCCCTTAAACCATTTCCAGAATAATGATGCAACTTGGGAATGGGCCCAGGGATACCCACTTGTGCAAGGAACCCTGTAAGGGCACCCTGAATAGAACCAAGAATGCCTTCTCTCTAAAGAGAGTGGGGTCAGGCATTGCCCAGCCAAGCAGGTTTCCAGGGGTGGCTCTGGAATCCCAGCTTGCCCAGTGGGAAGTGTGAAAGGTGGGAGAGGATGGTGAGGTAGGGTGGGGCTCTGCTGAGGGAGTGCCAGCCCCTCCCACCCACATACTCGGGCTCTGTCAGCGGTGTGGTCTCATTGGGTTCTGTGTGTTTCCCTCCATCATGGTTTGGCGTCCGCTCCTCCTCGGTTCGAACCTCCACAATGGGCTCCTTGGACTCATCTTTCCTGTGGAGAGAGTTCTGCTGGTCACATCCCAGGGCAGGAGGGTGGTCCCCAGGGAAAGTAGCTATGGCTCAGGGTAATGAGGCCTCACCAGAGGCTGCCAGTATGAATGTCCAGAGCCAGGTATGAGTGTCTGTGTTTCAGCCTGACCCTTGCTAGCTGTGTGACCTTGAGCATAATTAAATCAGCCCTGCTTCAGTTTCCTTATCTTAAAATGAGGCATGTAGTAGTATGTCCCTGGCCTAGTTATTATGAGAATTAAATGAGATAATGGATGTCAAGTGCTTATCAAGTGCCTGGTACAGATAAGAGCTCAATACCATACATATATCTGTAAGTGTGTGTGTAGGTCAGTGAACATATATGTAGATGGATATACAGGACCTTGAATGTGGTGGTGCTGAACCACCTGTTTTCTCTCTTTATCCCTTCTCAGTTTGCTCCAGTGAAGCCCCACTCTACAATGGTCTTCAGAGGCTTTTCGCTCAGCATCTGTTTCTCCACAGATGGTGCTGGACAGAACAATCTCTGGATTGCCAGTTCCACAAGGGCAGGAATTTTTATTCTTTTTGTTTCCTGTTGTACCCTCAAGCCTGGAAATCATGCCTGGCCCTTAGCAGCTGCTGCCTAAGTATTTGTTGAGAGATGTATGAATGAATGAATCAATGGAAAAATGAAAGTCAGGTGAGTGTGTCCCTCAAATATATAGAAGCCTATATAGGCTTCTATTTTGACCATCATAGGTGTTTTCAAACTTTGGTGAGATTCTACTGTGCTGGATTGGGAGCCAGGCCTAGAAGCCTGCTTTTCAAATAGGTCACCCCTAATGCCTAGCCACCCAAGACCACAGGAGGCTTTTTCACTCCAAATGGGGAAAGTGAAGCTGGAAGAAAGGTTACTACAGGCACTGGTGAATGGCTCAGAGGCAGCATGGCTGCTGGGTCCTTGGGTAGGGATAGAGCCCAGACCACAGTGGGGCACGGGTCTCACTCACGAGAAGGCAGCCTTGCCCTCCTCCATGTCCTTGCCCTTGGCTCCAGGCCCGGCTTTTCCACACAGGTTGACAGCGATGCACATAAGCAGGCCACACTTGTTCAGGAAGTAGCAGGTGATGTCCACAACCACCAGGAGCAGGACAAAGATGACAATGAGGATGCCCACGATGGCCCCAGTGCTCAGGCCTGCTGTGGGGCTGCCGTTGGCTTAAGTGAGAAAGAGATGACCGAATATTAACAGGCTGAGATGCAAGTCTGGACCCTGCAAGCTACAGCCCTTGGGGTAGGGTAGGGCCCAAAGCACAAAGCCAGGGATTTTATATCCAGAGTACTACCTTCCCTGGGGCTTTTCTATGCACTGGTGTGGAGACAACAGGTTCTCTCTACATCTTCCAAGGGTAGAGATGACAACTTCATCTCATCTTGGGATGGGGATGTGGGGCTTCCACAACTTAGGATGAGAATGGGGCTTGGGAAACATGTCTCCATCCTACTCTCAAAGCCTGAGTCCTCCCAGAGCCATATGTCCTCAGAGCCAGCCTCACAGCTGGGCAGTGTCCCATGACACGGGAGGAAGATGCAGCTAGAGGGCAATGCTGTGTGTTTCCTGGGTTTTGCAGGAAAGTAGGCATGGTCACTGGTTTCAGGCTAGGCAGCAGCTCTGAGAACACTGAGGGACAGGGTCCCAAATGGGGTTCCCAGGGCTTCCTTGTGCCCTCCCTCTCCACATCTTAGGAATAACTCCAAAGGATCCCGAACCTGGAGTGGACTGGACTCATGAGCCACCCCCCTCTTTGCTGCACCCCAGAAAAATGAATGCAGGCCGTGAGACTCTGGAGACATGGCAGCCTCCTCAGGCCTGGTGGGTAAGGTGAAGGGTCTGGGAATACTCACCTTCTGGGAGCCAAGCACGCTCGGGTCAGACTTCAGGAAAACCAGCTGACTCACACAGAGCTGCACACTCGCACAGACAGGCACACTCATATGCAGGACAAATGCCCACACAGACGGATGCATTCTCACCTCCCAGCAGCACCCAGCGCCCCCGTTCTGGCTCAGCTCACTTTGAAAGACTCAGCCTCTCTGTCTAGCCCCTCTGGAAATCATCTATAGTTCTCCAGATTTGGGCTCTTGATACTATCACAGAAGGAGCCAGGCTCAGCTCTCTGTATGGGTGTGATTGATGTTAGCTGCTTGGGATGGATCCGCTGGCCTCTTGGTGGTTTCCATTAGTCTTTTGGAGGCCAATGATAGTGCTATGGGCAGCAAGAACCTATGCAGAGCTCTGCCTGTGTTCATGGGGACACAAAGACCCTAGACAGAATAATGGGTACTTATGGTTCATTTTTCTTCTAGAAGGGCATGGGTCCAAAATTATGTACAGCTCCATTCTACCACCAGGCCTTGTCTCAAGCATCCCTGGAAGAAGGTATGTGGACTAGAGGCAGGAACTGGGGCCAACACTACTTGGGGCTTCACTCTGCCTGACCCCAAATTTGGCTCACTTTGTTAATGCCAGGCCAGGGCCATTGGCCTGCCAATCATGAATCATGCCAGACAACAGGAAGAACATATAACCCAAGGTAAGCAGCACTAAGATAGCCACCATTCTTTTCTCCACAACCTGTGCTCTGGAAGGAGCAGCTCTGTGTGCTGCAGGGTCCTTGCCCAGGAACTCTAGGGCTTATCTAGTGGCAGTGCCACCCCACTGGTCTTTTTAAATTTCATCCAGGGTACCAGCCACCAGATTAGCATGCCAGAGAGGACCACTCAAAACCTATTTCTTTGGGCACAGTTGGGCCTGAGCTGGAGGAGACTCCCTGGTTCCCAAATGTTTTAGACCCCTATGGGACCTTGGGTTACTTCCCAGCCTTTTCTCAGGGTTTCTGGCTGGCCTTTTCCACCCTAGTCCATTCCTCTAGAAAATCCAGAGATTGGTGAGAGACTCTGGCTACCTTGTTTGTGGGGTTTTGCAGCAAGAAACCAGCCTTTATCTAGAGTAGGGCATTTTCTCAATAACTAGCTAAAATGAAGAGGTGTTTCTGGTTGGCTGCATAACAAAACCACCCATCCATTTCCTTATCTATCTACATTGCACCCAAAAAGCAAAGAAAGAGATGCAGGCTTCCTTGATCCTTAGGATCCGAAGCTGTTTTCCTGAATGGGGAAGTCATTTAGGCCTTGTAATTTCTCTCTATCCCTTGACACTGGTCTTGAAGCCACTGTAGCCTTCTGACTCCAGTATCTGGTAGGTATAAAGTGCCTACTTCCTGAAGAGATTGCAAGTATTTTTTTGGTGTGTATGTGGGCTACATCTGTATTTTTGGACTCAATCGCAAGCATTCTACATTCTGAGGTTTACATGTAAACACACAGTCTATGCTCTATGTGCATGAAAGGATGCAGCTGGGACAGATTTTGCTCCAGGCTCATCAGGTGCAGCTGGAGGCCACACTGGGCCTAAGGATGATGGAGAGGAGAGACAGGTGGGTGAAAAGACTGTACTGTGGCATAAACCACAAGTATGGCAGTGGTCTCTACTTTCATTTGATATAAAATTCAAAGCCTTTCCTTGGCCTAGGCCCTGCATGTTCTATGGACTCTGCCCACCCCTCTGACTTGTGTAAATGATAGCAGGACCCTGGTTCCCTGTGATCCAGTCAGCCCAGCCTGCTCTGACTGCTGATCACACTAGGTCATTGCCCCAGGGCCTGAGTGATTTTTTTGCCTGGAATATTCTCCCTTTGAGGAGCACTTTCAAGGATGGCTGTTTGCTATCTTGTAGGCCTCAGGACTATGTCAACTTTTCAAAGAGGTTTCCCCTGGTCTCTTCTCTAGTGAAGCACCCTCAAATCATTTCCTACCACATTTCTCATTTATTCTTCTTACTACTCCCTGCCATCTTCTGTTCATTTATATGCTTATTATTTCTGGTTATCTCCTACAGAACACCCTAGAAGGTGCCTGACTCTCTCTTCTCTCTCCCCTGTATCTAGGATGACCCTGACTCAGGAAATTTTCACAGAATATTTGTTGCATGCATGAGTGTTTAGCCTGGAGAGGATAACACTGCTTCCACATATTTAAAGGTCTGCCATGAGAAGGAACAAGGAGACTTATTCTGCATTGAATCAGTGAATGTCAATTATGGGGTGGGGGTGAGGTGAAGATAGAGGCTCGTATAAGAAAAGACTATCAGAGCTGGTCACACAAGGTGCAGACCAGCTCCTGGTTCCTGGAGCCACTCAAGTAGAGGCAGGACAACTCCTTCGCAGTGATGTTATAACGCTCTGGATGAGCTCACTGTACTCAATAGGGCCTTGGGTAGATGGTGTCTGTGGGTCCTCTTTAACCACAAGAGCCTATGATTCAAGTCAGATGTTCTAAGTACCTAGGACAGGTGCAGATTCCCTAAGGCCAGTCTCCACCAGGAGTACTGAAGATTTTTCCCCGGAAGACTAGAATGCTCAGTAGATTCTCTCTAATCATTGATCCTCATGTTTTATTTTTGTATGAAAAACAAAACACCTTTTAACTGGGGGTGAGGGTCAGGAACTGGGATCTGAACAAGTACCCCAGATGATACATGCGAGGTCCACCATTCCTAGTTCTTCTCTCCCCTGCATCATGTATAGGATAGACAGAGAGAAAGCAAAGACTCTCCTAAAAGAAAGGGACCACTGAGGCCAACACTGCTAAGAATCAAGACTTCTAGAGCAAGTGAGGCACTGTTTACACTACAGGGAGAATGCTGGCCACATTTATAGAAAGAAGCTGTAAATCAAGGAGAGAGCACAGTACAGTTGGAAGGGTATTTAAGGCAAGCCAACATCACTTCCTCTCACTTGATGTTATAGAACAATTTAGTCCAGGAAAGCTACTGGGACAAGGGTTGTCTCCTGCATCTCATGTAACATTTCAGAAAAGGGAAAATTCAAAAAAAATCTTTAGGGATCTATCTTTGCCATGGTCTCCCCTTTTACCTTGACTAACTCACTTGTGCACCTTGCATGCAAAAGGCTTCTTGGGAGCAGTTTCTTCATAACCTCCAAGGCCAGAGGTGCCCTGAAGAGTGAGATTATGTGGCAGGGGCTGTCCGTCTTTTGTGGCTCCTGGCTCAGGGAAGGTTGGCCCTCAAATAGGAACTGGCCTGCTCCCAAACTGCAACTCACATGTGCCTGCTTTCTTGTGCCTTAAGATGGAAGTATGGGTCTCACACTTTACAGATGCCTAGATGGACCTGAGTCATTATTGTGCCATGGGACCTGGATGCCAAAGTTCCCTCTCAGCCTCCTAGGAATGTCAAGACTCTCAGAATGGTGAAGTTGGGATTCTGATTCATTCAAACCCCTTAAATGTCTGTTTGCTCCTTCCTGAAAATGGCTACACAGTCAGCTGGTCTCAGGGGTTTGCAAGAGGTGTTTAAGTGTGATTACAAACAAAATACAGTTTGCCAAAAAGAACTTTCTTTGAGTTTCTGTGTATCACACGATCCTGTATGGCCTCTGTTAGGAATAAAGGTTTCTTTGTGATAAGAAGACCTTGCTATAGAGCTGTGCATCTGGTGGCTCAGAATGTGCCCTGGAATCTTCTCAGTTCTGCAAAGGCATTTTCCCCTCCCTCCATCTGCTGTGTATTCCAAGGCAGAAATGACCCATAACACCTCTTAGGATGGCTAAGAAATACATACTGCTTCTCACGAGGAAGGGCAAAGATTTTGTCTGGCTAGAACTCCTAACTTGCTAGGTAATCAGTTATCAGCTAAGGGAGAGGTGGAGGAAAAGCTCTTTTAACACTGTTTTGGACACACAACTATCAAATAAAATCAAAACACACTGGTAAGTTCACATGAGCTGTTATATCCTTTAATAATGCAAATGTGTAAACTTCATAAAGGCCTCGCTGATTATCTACACAACAATGTTAGCATTCTTATTAGTAGAAAAACATCATCCAAACCTGCTGTATAAATATTCCAAAAATGAGCAGAGAAACCCCAGGGGATGTGGCGTGTGGCCAGAGCTAACACAGAGCACAAAGGCAAGGTGGATGAGAAGATGAGGCATGCTCACTCCTGCAGGGCTCTTTGAGGACCACTCTTAAGGACTCCTGGGTGGTGGGGATGGGGGTGGCAGCCTTCACCAGAAACTCAGTGTCTCAAGAGAGCCAGCGCACAATAATGCTAGCTCTTGAAGAGCAAACTGTTACCAGCCACAGGCCAGGCCAGTAACCCCAGAGCTTTCCCAGCTGAGGGCTGCCCGGCCGGCCCTAGGATGTGCCAAGGGCACAAGGCCACGTCAGGCCTCTTTGCATTTAGGGCTAGATTTCCAAAGATCCCTTTAGAAATACTGACACTATTCCTCTCCTTTGCATGGTCCTGGGACCCAGGTGAGGCAGATCCCTGAGGTGAGCTCCTATAGGGTGAATACATGTACTTCTATCCAGGGCAATCAGAAGCATCAGGAGGACTGTCCTCCCTGCAGCTCTTCTCAACTAACTTAGGATTCTCATACTGGGCTCTGCAGGTGCTGTATTACTCTCTCTATGGCCCTGTGCCTGAGAGCCATCCTGTGTCACTGCCCCAGTGGGACACTAGACCAGGGGTCCAGGGCAGGAGTTTGTGGCTGGGGACAAGTGCTGCTCATGTGAGCTGCTGAGCAACCCTCTACAGTGAATGCTGGGGACACTGCGGGGGCCAACACAGGTGACTGCCCGCAGGCCCCAGCTTGGAGTCAGTTGGATTCTCAAAGAGAAAGGCTAGTCTTTTAACATTAAAAAATAACAATGAAAAAATATATAAAGAACAAAAAGAATGCAAATCAAACTTGTAAGGAGATGTTCGGAGAAGCAATAGGTAGAATGATAAATGACCACAACGGGGGAGGGAGTTTTTATTTGGTAGAAGGTCTGTCCCCACGCTCACACACTGAAAGGGGTTCAGCCTTGGTTCTCTATGCATCCCATTTTACCAAAGCCACCCACCTTCTCTCTTGGGTGAACCCTGCAACAGCACATGGAACACCTGGCTTTTCATGAACATGTTAAAAGCGTCACTGAGCCATCTAACCAGTTGGGAGGCTGGGGCTGGGTGGTCTGGGAGTGGACTATCTCTCCTTCTCTGTACTTCTGAACATGTGCAGAGAAGCTGAGAGACTCGTGCTTGGTTCACAGTGGATGCTTCCAACCTGCCTGGTACAGGGAAGCTTACAGTGACAAGGTGGGTCATGGTTGGACCACAGCTCCCAAGACTTGGAGGCTCTGTGCTGACCTGTGACATGCAGCTATGCAGCAGGAGAATCACCTCCACTAGGAGACAAGTACCTTTCAAAGCCAACATGTGTTAGGCACATCACAGCTTGGCCTTCTTCATAGAGACAGCTGAAGGTGCTGGTTATAATACTGAGCAACAGGGGACTTAATTTATCCATCATATCAGCAGAGTACACAGGTGAATTGCCACGAATGGCTCTTTCAACACAGGCACTTAAATACTTAAATGCAAGCAAAGCCAACTACTTACTAAAGGACCGAGGAAGGGCACAAAGTTAGAATGAGGGGACACATGGTGATTTCAATAATCTGAGGCAAGCTTTAGGAGGTGCCAAGAATTCTTCCTCTGCTACAAAAAATGCAACAAGTAGCAGATATGCAGAAAATTCTAAGTAAACCTAGCATAGTGCTTTTTAAAAAAGTAATGTTTAAGGGAAGAGCTGTGAAATTCTTTTAACTGCCATTAGAAAGGGGGCAAACTCCTTATGAAGTGGCACAAAAGTATGTGCAAATGGCAAAATGTCAGGAGGTAAAGCTTTTTCCAATTACAGAACCTTCCTCTTCCGCACAGAATGCTCACTCAGTGGCCGTGGCTGGGCCATAGTGGTTCTGACAGGTTCTTCCAAGGGGAACACTGATCGTTTTCATAGGAATTAAGCTTTTAAGTAAATTTAATTTTTGTGTTCAAGTTTCTAACAGAGCAAAAGGAGAGTCACTGCAGAGAAAAGCAATGAGACAAAAGTGTATGATGCAGAATTGCCTCCCAAGGTGGCTGCAGGTATCAAGCAATGGGTCCCCAGAGAGAATGTGGTTGTTTAAAATAAATGTGGCAGTGAGGATGTCCCAGTGGCGTCCAAGGTGACAGGTATGACAACAGACACAGGAAGGGGGAGGGGGAGGAAAGAGAAGGTAGAGACAGAAACAGAGAAAAAAATAGATAAAAACAAAAAAATAGGTCAAATATTGAAAACACAAGAATCCAAGGTTAATTCAACTTAGTAAATTAAATGGACAAAGGTTAGAGAAGAGTTCAGTGCGGTATCAACACCATAGGCCAGGTCAGAAGCTCAGCAATGCCAGAAGCAGCACAGCAGGGTTAAGTTTGGGGTTAGGGGGCAGCGAGCAAATGAAATTAAAGTGAGAGAACAGGAGCCTCCACAATGGAATACCAGGGTATGATTAGGAGGGTATTACCTTTGCTAAGGTGATGCCTCCTAGGTGCAGCCACCTAGTGTCTTCTAGTCTCTAGTGTCTGCTGCAGTGGTAGAGATGCATTGGATGCCTGCACTAGGGTGGGCATGCTGTGCATGGGGCAGGACTGCCTTTGCAGAGTTGAAGCAGACCTTTCTCCTACTGTGTAAACCTCCATCATGGTGCTGTTAGTCCTGTACACCTCACCTTCTACCATCTTACTGACCACAACACTCAACTACAAATGTATGTCTACTGGTGCAAAGAGATTTTATTCTTGGATCCCAATATGATGGCCAGGAACATCCAACAAAGCACAGAGCCACCTCCTTCTAACACGTGTGCAGTAGAGCCACAGAGCCATCCTGGACAAGGTGAGCAACCCCCCAGCACTCTCTAGCTTAACTGGGCACCTGGATGATTCACAACAAGGCCTCTAGAGGACGAAGTCTCCCTAGTATTTTTGTCACTCAGAAACGAATGCTGCTGCAGTACCCAGCATGGGAATATAGAACACCCAGGCAACCTGCTTATGAAGTCTCACCCCAGGGAATAGTGGCCAAAAGGAATCTGTCTTGCTGTCTTGAGGCTTACTCAGCCCCCACCCCCAAATGTTCCACAAGGCAGTGAGGATCTGCACACTCACATTGCACCATCAATATCAAGCAAACACTGATCAAAGAACACAAGTAAAGAAGAGGCAGAGGAACAGGAGAGCCACCTTCATTTGGACATACTATGAAGCAGCAACGAAGACATTTCTTCCAGTCACACCCAGCTGCCTTCCTTCAGCCCCTGTAGAGACCTGCCCACCCCAGTACACACTAGGGAGCCTTCCCCACAATGCAACTGATGCCTCTGATCTGCAGTTTAAAACTCACTTGCCAACTTGGTGGAGGCTCTCATGGCTCTCATGTCTCCCAAACACACCCATTCACACACAAACAACCATCAGGAATCACACACTGATCTCTTGTTTTGATCCTGCCTCACTATATCACTTATGCACATACCCCTGCGGTATTAGGCAGCCTACACCCTTTCTGGCCTGTCCTCGCCCTGGGAGGAGCAATGGTGACAACTGAGCCAAGAACTTGGCAAGCTGTACAGACAGGGCAGGCAAGATAGGCTCCCCAAGGCCATCTTCCTACCACACATGAACATGGCAGAGTGTGTGAAGTCCATTCCAACAGGCTGCAGCTATATGTTCTGTGCCCTTCTCTCTTGCCTGTGCCTGGTATTTGTCTGGCCTTGAAAGACAAAGTGAGGGCTAAAGGTCTCTTTCTACTCTGAGGGATTTGGCCAATGATGGCATCAACCATCAGATCAAGGTAGCTGGGCTAGAAAGCAGAACTCTCACTTTATTCCCACACTTGAGTTGGTCCTGGATCCCTAGAGACGGATCTGCATCTCCTAAGAGCTCTACTGCCATCACAGTTTCTAGCAGGCTAGCTGCCTTTCATCGATGGTGCTTTCCAGCATCTGTCTTCTCCACTTGTTCCATTTCAAGAAATTCAGTTTTATCTCTGTGTCAGTGGAGCGGCTCTTGACAGATATGTTTTATAACTAACTGGGCACCATCTCTTTCTTCTCTTGGGGTCCCCACAGAGAAGAGATTTGGACCATGATTGTGCATATAAAGCAAGCATCAAATAGAAAGCACACAAAACAGTTATACGGTCCTAGTATGTTAGATGGCAGATAAGGTCTCATAAAGGATCCTTACTCAACCAGCATCCGAGGCAAGGCAGGGGCTGGGGCATTTCCCATCTGAGGGGTCCCATGGACTGGTTAGCATCAGTTGCTTAAGGCCGAATGAGAGAGGACGTTTTCCCCAGGATGCTTGGCCAAGCCTTGCTGGGGGTCCAGTACATCTCAACCCACTGCACAGAGAGGTACAAGGCAAAACTAAGCTTTGCATGGTCAACCAGTCATGAGATGGCTGTAAGCAAGCAAGTTGTCAGGGTTGTTCAGGCGCATTAGGAGGTGCAGCACTTGTGCATTAATTTAAAGCAGGAAACTAACAGACAGCAGAGGCAACTGTACCTGGGATAGCTGTAGGCTGGGCTGAGGTCTTGAACACAAAATGAGCCGGCTTGGATTTTCCTTGCTGGTTCTCAGCCACCACAGAGACTTCATACTCGGCATTCCAGTCCAGTGACTTGAGCATGACATGGTCACTGCCCGATGGGAGCCTAATCTCTGGTTTCCAATCGGAGGAGAGCTTTTGGGAGGAATCAGGAGGAAAGATACAGGACACCAGAATTTTACTATACTCCAATTTTAATATAAATAAAAACTATCATTTATCGAGTACTTACACTGTGCCAGGCACCACTGTACTAAAGGCTGACCACACATTTTCTTTCTTTTTTTTTTTTTTTTTGGTACTGGGGATCGAACACGGGTCCTTGGGCTTGTGCAGCAGGCAGTGAAACCACTGAGCTAAATCCCTGCCCCTGACCACACATTTTCTTACGGTATCTCTATATCAAACCTGCAGAAGGTTTTGTTGGGCTTGTACTAAATCTAATGATGGGGATATGAGATAGAGGTTAGGTGACTTCCCAAAGTCACCTTGAAGTCAAGGTTGACGCCAAGTCTGTCTTGGCTCAAAGCTGTTCTTTGGTTTCATGGTAGGAAGCTGTGCAAACATCTGCTGAACTGAATTGGGTTTTCAATTCCATGCACGTGACCTGGTCTCTACAACGCAGCTGAATAGATGTTCACAGGGCCCACAAGGAGAGCCCCACTTAGAGGATCATGCACTGTCCTGGCCGCAGTGACAGGCACGAAATCAGAGTTCAGGGACCTCTTCTTTCTCATCTAATGCTCTCTCTGGTTATAGCCTCCACAAGCCCTAGTGACTTTGTACTAAACAGGAGCTTACAAAACCGTTATTAGGTGACTCTTTCTTAACAAAACAGTTTCAGGAGAAGATCTGACAACCTCTTGAGAAGGCTTCCAATAATTATATACCTCTGCAGCCCACCCCTTCACAAACTCTGGCTTTTTCACAAGGCATATGCCCCAAAGTATATGCTAGGCATGCAACAGGGTTTGACAAATGCTTACTGGATGACAAGATTCTTGATAGCACTGTCTAGCAGCCACCACAGGACCGGGGCTGAGGCTGGAGGAAGAGTTATTTTACAGCAAAGGGGTCTTAACCAGGCAAACTGGTTTGTACTAGCTAACAAGTTGCCTTTAAGAATGTGACAATGATTGTTCCAGGGCCTAGGACTATTACAGGGAAATGGTGGTAGGGGAATTCCAGTTTCTCAGAGTCTAAGCAGGTTGCAGGACTTGTGGTGTAAGTTAGTTTGCATATGTCATTATGAGCCCCTGTTTTAATTTTTAAAAAAATATCGAGCTGTCTTTGCTCTTTTTTCTCTGTCTTCCTTGGCAAACATCATTACAAAAGAGAAAACTAGCCTGTAAAGCACCAGGGCCGGGGATTTAACTCAGTGGTTTCGCCGCCTGCTGTGCAAGCGCAAGGACCTGAGTTCGATCCCCGGTACCAAAAAAAAAAAAAGCACCTATTCAACAAAGTAAATATTATGTTATATAATACATCATAAGCAAATATTAAGTTTTGAGTGAAAGAGAGAGGATAGTCAAGGTTGCTGAAATCTAAAATATCTCAGCATTCTGCTCCAGTTGTCACTGTAGAGTCACAATGGCTGTTCCAGCAAACTGATTGGTGATGGCCTCCCATGGGAGAGGTTTCTAGCTAGAGCCTGCATCCTAGAAGTAATATTAGTTAGATTTATAGGGCCTTCCAACTATCAAACATATCTCAATTTCTTTGCATATATTATAACTAATATTTACAATGACTTGCTAAGTAATTTTATAGATGAAGAAATGGAAGTTTTGGAAGGTCGAGTGACCTAGTCAGTTCATATGCTGGTAAGTGGTAAGGCTCGAATCCAAGGCCATGTGTGGCTCACTCCAAAACCCTTGCTCCCTCTACTGGACCATATTAGCCTCACAATGGCCAGAGGCATTCCCTCCTACTACTCCAAATGCTTCCAATGGAGTATGCGGGCCACCTGCCTAGCCCTGACATCCTTCTCTGCAGTGAGAAAGTCACATGGACCTGTCATATATCTCCAGGATAGACTTTTCCTACTATGCCAGCTCATACCTTGCTTAGAAATGAGGTGAGAAACAGGGCTGAGTGGATGGTCAGCCTGCCCACTGGATGAGTATCCACAGGGTTCTGTGGTGGACCAACTCTCTAGAAGTGTCACCAGTTAAAGATCCTCATGGGTCCGTCACTCCTACAGGGGCTACTCACATGGCAGAAAGGGAGGAAGCCAACTTCCTGGATAAAGCCTTATTCTGGACTAAATGAAGAAAGGAAACTCCTCTCTGGTTCATTATTTTCCACCATAAAGAAGCCCTAGAAACAGGCTGTTCCCAGTGGCCAGATAGAGACTCTAGATCTCTCACCAATTGCTTGTGGTTGGCAATAGACAAGGGTCATCCTAAAACCCAAAAAAGGAGAGAGTGATTCTCAGTCTGGACCTTGGGATGAGACCTAGAATGATGGGGATCTTAGATGGGAGGTGAACAAGCTGGAAGAAGAGTCTTAGAGCCAAAATCATCGCTAGCAAAAGTAGAGCAGCTCAGGCACAGAGGCCAAGAGCAGATGCTGGTATCGGCACTGCATTAGGATCTGAAGGCAGCCTTGGGCAACACTTGGAGGAGCCTGGGCTCTTCAGTCAGGCCTTCATTCAGACTGGTTCACTGAACTGTGAGAGGGCCAGGCACTGATTACTGACTGCAGTAGCTCCAGCTACCTCATCTGCCAAGTGGAGCAAATTCTAAGACCTACTACTCAGAGATTCTGAGCTGAGAATGCACCTTCACACAGTGTCCAGCCCAGAATACACCCCATTAAAAATAGCCACTATTAGATATTAGCCCAACATTTGCCAAAAAGCTCTGAACAATGGCAAGATAACTTTTTAGAAAAAAATCAAGAATCAGAAAAATCAATCATGATGTGTTTGCCACTGCGCCAATCATTTCAGAAATTTTCAAATGCTCCTAGTTAGTCTTGGGATTTTAAAGTCTTGGCCAAGGTCTTCCATTCTACCTCTGATGTGAATGCTGTTACCTTGCCTAGGCAGGGGTCAGGGTGGCAAGGTCAGGAGGAGGGTCTAGCAAGGAGGCCACTCACCGCTCGGTACTTGACCAGGTAGTGTCTGATGGGGGAGCCGCCGTCATCCTGCTTGATCAAGTTCACCTTAATGGAGTTCCCGTCTTCTCCCATCTGCCCTTCGAGCTTAGGTGCACTGGGCTCCCCTGAAACAGCCAGTGAACACACATGAAATTTCAGTCCAGAGAATGATCGCATCCATCAGAATGGGGTGCGTTAGAGGTGGGGCTGGGTACTTCTCTTGTTTTCTCAGAAACACAAATGCAATAAATATGAGACACCAAATTCCACTTAGCTGTATCAGTCCTAGCTCATACCGAGAGTGCCTTTTTGGAATGTTCTGGGAAACACTGTCTCTATTAGCAAAGTTCTTTTTCCGTTTTAGTAAAGGCTTTTTCTCTTTTCCCTTTCTGCTACTCTTACAACGGCAGATTTAATTCTTATGAACCTGACGTACTTTAATAGCCTGAAATATGGGAAAATATAAGTCTTTGAGTAAACATATCCATAAAATTATATTTCCAAACAGTCCAGTTTTTCCCCTGGCACTCTGCTCACCCCAGAGGCCTGAGGGTCTGATCCCTGATGGGAGCGATGGCGCTGCATTCTCGTGACTGGCTTTTCATGAATTAAATTTTATTGCTTAGGATCATTTAAAAAATAAGTTCCCAATTGTGGTTAAATAAAACACAAATTGCCACAGGGAACTTTCCTATAGGTATTCTGCATTTATGGCTTGACTGAATGAGTGATAATCCTTGCCACTTTAATGAATGAAAGCAACAGTCATTAAAGTCTTTTTCTTTGTGAGAGGAGAAAGAAAAAAAAATGGCTTAAGCATTTCTCAACAGCACTAACAGAAAAAAAGGTGATTTTCTTCTTTATTTGCAGTATAAGCTCACTCACATTACAGCACTGTGAATCCAAGTTTGATCAGGAAGATGAACTTGTATGTGACAGACTATAAGGGCTGGAAGTAAGATGCTGATTTACTTTAAGAGAAACTATTTCATTAGTATATGCTGAAAGGAACAAGGTGAGAAAATTTCTGATATAAAGAGTTAAATTAAGATTCCAAGAACACTTGGAATCCTGTACTTTCTAGGATGAGCTACATCTGCCATCTATTTGCTGATCACAGAGAAACTTGGGGAGGTTATACAACAGTTACCTTCTGGGTGGGTTACCCTGGATTGCTCTCTGGGAAACAGAATGGCACACATGTGACAGAAGAGCCCAGAAAAGGCCTGCCACCAGTCTGCGGCCACAATCAGCCTGTGGCTAGTGAAGACAGTATCTAGCTTGGCCTCCTTGTTCAGCCATTTTGCGAATCTCTTCCCTTTGACGAGGAGGAACCAGAGGGGGAAAGCTAAAGCAGTGCCCCCTACTTATCTTGTAGGGCCAGCAGCACACACATCACCTGGCTCTTGTCACAAATGCAGACTCTCTCCATGACAAGTTCACTTGGTAATCTGTGAGCACATTTAGGTTTGAAAAAATGGTAGCAATGGGGCACATACACGATGGAACAAGGAGAATCTACAATCTTGATGTCTGAAGGATATCTTATGGAAAAGTTATGTTTATTATTTATTTTCTTTAACCAGTAATTAAAGAAAAACCCCAGAATACAATGATAAATGGATATCAGGCAAGGTCTTGTCCTGCTTTTATACTATTACTTAACTGACCCCAACTACTCAGTGGAAAATATTTAGAAATTTAGTTTAGATACACCAAGTATTTAGGCTTTTTCTGAATCTTGGCCAATACTTCAGTGATATCTACATCATTATAAGTGTCCAGTGCTGAAGAGTAACTCACTGTGCTAGGTTTTAGAGCAGGGCATGAGCTCTGGGTAAATTCAGCATTGCTGAATGAATGGAAGAATAAGATACAATGGAATTTGATAAATTCTATTCTGTCTGAATTAGGATGACCAACTCTTACCAGTGAGTCTGGAATATTTTAGATTTGAGCACTGGAAGCTCAACGTCCTGCAAAACCACTAAGTCCTAGGCAAATTGAAATGGTTGGTGACCCTAGCATTACAGGGAAATGAACATTAATCATTATAACTTTCTCCACTGAGAATCACAATGTCAACTGTGTACTGGATGGTCTATTTGCCTTAGGAAGGAAGGGATGTTCATTAGGCAGTGTGGGTGGCCCTTCCAACACACCCACCAGACTAGGAACACATGCTTCTCCAAGCCTCCTTGGGAATATATGGAAAGAAGTCATTGGACCTGCTTTGCTCATCCTCCTTACCATTCTCTTTCAGAATGGAGCAGTATAGGTTTCCAAGACTGGATCAATAACACAAAACATCTTCTCAAAACTCTGCTTTGTGGGATGTCTAATGCCTTAGCCACATCTTTAAGTCTCTACTTTGCAAAATATGAGTTCTGGATTCAGTGCTCCCTGCAGTTTGTTCCAGGTCTGCCATCATGGCAGCATAGTGACAGTCATTGCACTAGAGGGGAGCAACTACACTTCAGCTATTTCCATGGAATACATGGAATACAGAAGACATAATGTATGACTTTCAGCCAATTTCAGAGAGATGTACTAAGATCAGCAATTCCACATCTCTAAGGTACAAAATTGTCAACTTTTTGCTTTACAATTTTGATAAGTTTTCTTAAGAAGTCCTATATTTGAAAAGAGACTTAGGAGTCTCTTTAAAGCCAAATGAACAAAAATCTCTCCAAGCAATCTTTATAGAACTCAATATCCCTGATGAAGATAATCTCTTACTTTTGGATTTGTCTCAGAGAAAATATAATTGGAATCACACAAAACTAAACTCTAAAAATTGTACCATAGTTATAGTTCTAACATTTACCATAGTTAGAACACTATAATTTGTTATCATCTTATCTGAATGACTACCATGCTACTCTGATATTATTTCTTATACAATTTTAGAGCATTTTATATCATATAATATATATATAATTTTATATCATATAATATAATAAATTTTATATCATATAATATGTAGGTATATTGTTTTAAATGCTTTATCTATGATTTAATCAACAAATATTTATCAAATGTCTACTGGGTACCAATCAGGTAGTCTATTAAGTCAATGAAATCTCCAAAGAGAATGAAATATGTTTTTGCCAGCCAAATGAAAAAATTTAGTTATGATAGTTTTTAAAAAAATTACTGAGATCCTTGGATGGAAATATAATCTTTCCTATTACAGTATTTCTATAAGAATATCATTTTCAACTAAAATCACAGAGATTTAATCAACTTGTGGCTTTACAATTTTTAAGTATCTTCAGGTTTGGAAGGAGGAATTATTTAATTAATTGCCTTATTTATCTTCAAATTTTTATTTTCAGCTATTTTTCTTAAAGATTAGAAGTGGAGTTAAAGAAACATTCCTCAGCTCTCTGCACAAAGACATGCTTGACAAGGAATGGGCTTTTATAGAAGAAACAAGGCCTCAGTATGCAGGAGGCTCACTGCTTAATTGAACACATTAGCAGAGGAAATGATTTAGAGGGTCCCAAGGTTCTGGGGTGGCTGCTGTGATTGAAATCATTATGAGCAATTTCAGCAAAGCCAATATTGTAATTATTTGTAAATGCTGGTTTTCGATTCAGCAGCAATAGGCAGGTTGCTCCAAGAAGACCCCTGGGGTTAATTATACCCTTTGAGTTTAGCTTCAGCTATGACTCAAATTTTTCCCCCAAAATATTTTATGTAAAGATGAAAGCAGCAGTGCCTTGAAAATAAACCTTGTCAATAATAAATAAGAAATATTGGGCAGTTCTGGTATTTTTCTAGCAGAATGTAAATCATGAATGCAAAAAAAGAAAAACCAATCCATGTACTTCAGGTGCATTATAGGTAGGGTCTATGAAATTCCTCCTTAGAAACCATAATTGAAACATATATTTCTGAACATGGAGATCGTAGGTTCTTCCTTTGTAATTACTGAATTTCTAGGCCCTTAATTCTCAGTCCGCTCTGTGCCCTTCCTCTTGTCAGCAGGAACTCTGGGGTTAGAAACTACTGCTGAAAATACGAATGCCAAGATAAAAATGATAGTAAGTCCCAGGCATTGGGAAGCATTTGTGAATTTTAGAAGAAAAACAATTTCCTACTTCCCATTCAAAGAAGCCCAAGCACCAAGAGCTGTATAGTCTGCAGGAAATGCTGAGGTGCCAAACAGTCATTCCCCAAGAAAGGCTCTATCTCTGTTGTCTGGACATCTACTTTGTTTCTTCTCCCACAGGAATCCACAAAGAATTCTGGGGTCTGGATATAAACTACTAATGGACATAGGGCTTGCATTAAATTATCTCGTTTTTCCTAACAAATAGCATTATTGGATATTAAAAGTATTATTCATTTTATTTATCCTAACTCCTGTTTCCTTTGGTTGGTTATTTTTTCCAAGCAATTTGGTACCTTTTTATCATTTGCTTTAAAAAAGTTGCAAATGTATGACTTAGCCATTCAGATACAAAGCCTCTTTCATTTTTCCAACTCAGAAACATTACAATTCCATCAGGAGGTTACTGACAGGCCCTTAGGGGTTCAGCAAATTGCCTTAGGGAATCTGGAATTAGAGTTATTAGACCACTAATTCTCCTTCCTGGAACAGAGCGCTTATCTCCAGATGTCAAACAAAAGCATCTAATGTGATTTATATTGCATACATTCGTAGATCCTTCTAATTCTCCCCGATGCCTCTTTTGGTAGCCTGTCTGACTTTCTGAGAATCCCAAAGAACAACCTGACAATGTTAAGGATGTATGTCAATTTGCCTTCAGCCTCAGTCCCTCCCAAATCAGGCCTCTAGAGTCAGTATTCTTTTTTTCTTCTGAGTTAAGGATGTGCTTATGCTAGTGACCTCTTTTCCATACTAATCCCTGGGTCCAGGGAATATCGGGATACAAAATGAGTGGGTACACTGCCCAGATTTTGGAGAGGAAGGATGCTTAGTTCTCTGGGGCCAAGCTCCCTCAGGCACTGGTCCATACATCCTTTTAAGCAGCAGTTCTCTTAGGAGTTATGAAGGCGTGTTGGTGGTTGGGTGGCAAATGGCAGCACGAAGTACAAATTAAATAGCATCAAATGAGCTCCGACAGAACCACAGAAAATACCTATTCCTTTCTCCTGGGTGTCATGAAAACACCAACAGATTAATTGATCAATTATCTTTGTTTCATCATCCTAAAAAGAAAATATGACCATGAAGGTATGGCTTGTGGTTATGGGGCTGATCCAGGCTGAGGAAGTTAGGACAGAAATAACTATCACCAACAATTAACTCGGCTCCTGCCTCCATGGCCACAAAGGGGGCTGGTGCACATCTTTAACACTATTTCATGGACATTAGATTGGTTATGAAGAAGAATGAGGCTCCTGGGATATTTCCACCTTCATACTGGGAACACTAGGGGAATTGGCAGTTTCCAAAGCCAGCAACAGCCCTCAGCCCATGCCCACAGAATTCAGGCTGATACACACCACTACTTCCTTCTTCAGACCCTTCCCGCTAACTTTCTACCCTGGGAGCCGCCAGTGTGGGAAATCCTTAGAAATAAAGGCAATTAAAGTAGAGACCCTGGTGAAAAGTCTTTGTCGACCTGTCAGAGATCGTGGTCATCCAGACACACAGCTGTAAAAAAACAAAGGAGGGTGTGGAAGGGGTGGTTAGTGATGCTTTCAATCTAAGAAGGAAGACTGGGTGTTAAAGAGTTTAGTTCATCAGAATCAGCACTTCCTAGTACATGTCAGTGTCAGTAGCTAAAGAAAAAAAAGATCATTATGAACAGGTGGGGAGGAAGCCATGCTCAAACATGCAGCATCATGACAGACGGGGTGCAGTGGACTTCTCATCACACATATGCTGGTAGGGAGGTGGAAGAGTCCCATTTACAGAGTCCTCAACAACTGGTGGACCAAACCGTGGTTCTGTGGAGTCATCCGAAGCCTTGTAGTTACGCAAGACCATGTTAGAAATCAGCTTTGGCGTGGAGGGGTATTATAATTCCCCATAGCAAACTCAGTCCTGCCACCCTAGCACAGGTGTCTCAGCATATCTGTCATGGGCCTCTACATGTGAAGCTCTGTAGGCTCTGGAGCCAAGTACCATGTAGGATTGTGCTCAGTTCCCATTCTCACACCCCTCCTCCTTCTTTCAGTGCTGCTGGACTCAGTAAACACTACGAAGCTGAATTTAAGGTGGATGGAGTATCCAGCATACAGTAAGTGAGCCTCAGGAAATCTGGGGGGAGAAGTGAACAGAGGGTGGCCAGGGAACACTGGATTCCATTAATCATTGGGTAGATGACTCACCAATAAGAGGACTGCCAGCTCATGCAAACTTTTTGGATTCAGGTCCAATTCTTACTAGTGCTCAGGCAAAGGACACAATAATTGTCCTTAACTAAGCTTTATATCTCTCCCCTGTAAATTTTATTTGCTATGACCTCTCCATCCTCTTAGATTTTGTTATTAAAGGCCATTTCCTGCTGCTGGCAGCTCACCTGAAGAACAAGTCCTCAGCTTGCCCCTTGGAGATGGCAGGAGAGCAGCTGTCTTGGATGGGAACACTGTTTGATGAGGGGGTAATCATAGTTTTGGGATAAGGCTGTCAGTAAGTTTTTTTACTGGGCACATTTTTTGCTGACAGTCAAGATCACAGCAAAGGTGATTTTCTAGAGCACCTGCAGGACCATTCTGGCCATGCTTAAATGTCTAGGAAACTCCTTTCTTCAGAGGAGTGGATTAGTTTTCACCTTGTTAACATTGTGCTTTGTTTCATTTTGAATTACATCACTGCACAAAAATGACAAAGTTGTTTAAAAAAATAAACTAATGAGTTTCAAATCCTACACCCAACATCTGCTCACACTTAGTATTTCGTGGGGAACATCCAGACATTTTTCCAGAACATAAGCTACTGAGGAGTCACCACCAGTCTGAAAGAAGTCTGCTCCTGCTGGTGGTCAATATAAGGAAACACTAAAATTATAATACTTTGTGTAGAACTTGAGTTTAGAAAATCTTAGACTCTCAATATTCTTTGCCCTACGACTGACATCAAGATTGTTTTTAAAGTTAGTTCAAATCTATTATTGTGGACTATACCAGATGTCCTTTTATTTTACGGACAGTCCCACTTTATTTCATACAATGTAAGTATCAGACAGGTCCTTTTTAGAAATGAGGATGGCTCCTATGTATGTCCAAGACTCTGGCTGTAAATGGGACTAAATGAGGGCAAAGCTGCCATATACACAAGGAGGGAATCCCCGAGATGGTTAATGGAGAGTGAATGTGAGGGAACATACACAGGGCTAAGACATGTGGGAGTGTGACACAGAGCAGACTGGGAACAAAGAACATGCAAGACAAGCTGTTGACGGTTTTGACCGTGTCGCCCAATCAGTCCTCAGAGAAGTGAGATCAATGGGGAACCCCTTGCATGCACGGGCACACTGGACAGTTACTGGTGTTAGTTTTGATTTCGTGATCAGTGCAGCCCGTATGTACCTCAGGGTGTGATGTGAAATAAAACTTTTCAGTTAGGAGAGAACGGAATGCATTTGACTCCCAGGGCAGGTTCTGAATAGGTATTCCATTTAGTGGGGGAAGCCATCAGCAAAGGCTTCCCTTTTCTCTCTTTCCAGTAAGTGAGAAATGTTTTAACAAGGTTGTGACAGGCACAGTGTTAAATAATTATTTTGTCACCGCTATGCACTTAATTAGGCTATAATTGTATTTCCTTTGCTGCAAGGGTCAATCATGTGCTTCTTGATTACTCTGAGATCTCCAGTCATGGTAACTGGCAAGTGACTTTTGCTTGATTTGTTCCTCCTGCCTGGGGGAGGGCCACTCTCAAAAAGTGACACCTCAGTAATCACAGCCAAACTGCTCTAATCCAAATTCTTATTTCAGAAAGTTCTCAATTTGTATGAATGTGATGAAGCACTCTTATTGGTTCTGGACAAATACAACCTTTGCAATAGTTATATAGTTCTCTCTGTAGCATTTCAAGGTTGCAAACATTTTCACAGGATTGTGGCTCATTTTGGAACAAGTGCGGTTTATAAAACTACTGGATATATGTTAAATAGCAATGCTATAAGGGTGATTTACAAAGCATGTTTCTGGGTAATAAGTCTGATTAACTCTAGTAAAAATTCAAGTTTGAAAACTGTGTTGTGGCTAACATAGTCTTACTATAGAGGGCAGCTGGTGTGATCAAATTTCTTGAAGCAAAATATTAAACCAAAGGCTGTCATGTTAACAAATTGCTGTGTCAAGGTTGCAAAGAATGGTGAATTCTGGATGTGAATTGAGAACCTGAGGAAATTTCTCAAATATCTCAAATTGTTTAGAAAATCTGAGACAAGAGGGAATCAGTAAGCCCTAGGTGCCAGGCTGTGGTTCCAGATTTATTTCACTAATCAGAACAAAGAGTTTTACCTTCTGTTCACCAGCGTGGACGACATCATCAGCACCATGCAAGCCACATGACAAAGTCACATGATACGCACGCACATGATTGGTTGAAAGGAAAGTGGAGGAGGTCACATGGAAAATACAAAAAATTAAAAACTGATGTAAACAATGGGCAGGGAGAAAAATCAACAACAAAATCACAGACTAAATAAAAGGAGAAATCAAATTAAATTAGCAGCATATATAAGAAACATTGGGAGGACAGTAAAACTGCTCAGAAATAGAATAACAAATCATAAAGAGCATTTGGTTAACAACACCAATAAGCATTAGATATAGCTGCAACACTGCATATTAATATCACATCCAGGAGCATGAACACTTGTTTGGAAATGGGGAGGTGTTTCTGTCAGGACCCAGATGTCAAAGTCAATCCAGGAGACTGTTAAAGGAAAAGAAGAAAAGCAAGTTATTATTCATGGATTCCAGAAATGTCTCAGCATCCTTGGGAAATGAAAGCAATGAAACAGGTCATGAATAATCAAGGAAAAGTCCCAAGATTGTTAAGGCATAAACTGTAAGCCCTGGGAAAACAAAAGATTTTATTAAATGAAGAAAAGGCAATTCATGTTTCCACTGGTGAAACAAGGACAGGGAACAGCTAAATGGGGGTGGGTGGGTGCAGGCCAGAAATGGTGGCATTGAGGGTCTTATCCTACTTTCTTATTTGCATATCCACAATACTCTCAACACCAGATGACACTTCCCAAAGTCAAGACACACATACAGGGCAAAGCCAGTACAGACTGGGGAATAGTTTCCATTCTGTCAGTTGAGACAATGGCTCTGTTGCCACAAAACTATAGACACTGAACTGCTGGCCCAGTAAGCTGCGAGTCTGACTTTAAATAGATGCTTGACTGTATTTGACTGAATGAAGTTATATCTTCAGACATGTGGCTCCACTGATAAGAAACGGATTTGAGATTTACAATGTGAAAAACAGCTTTCTTGTTTGGATTCATCTACATTTCTATTGGTCTTATATGTACTCTACATTCCAATTTGGGACTGAATGATACTGATTTCTTAAAAATCATTTTGGAGTTGACCATTTTCATAATTTTCATAGACCTGGAGAAATTTTGGCTGGTGCTAGTTGAGGGTAAGAAGAGTGATGAAGATATCTTTCTGTTCAAAGAACCCTGCTGATTAAAAATAGACAGAAATGCTTTGGCCAAGTTACATATTCCCTTGCCACCATGAGCTAACAGAATGTATGCTTCTGATTGCCTGACATGATGCTCTGCAGGGAATATATACAATTGGGCAGTTTCTCTTTTGATTTTATTTAGAATACCTTTATTCATTCATAAATAGATTAACAAACATGCAAAACTAGGAGATATATTTATTTTCAACTCCACTGATTGATAGTTGATATATTTTTGCATGCTCATAGCTACTTTGCTATTGGTCTCACTGCAGTTCCCATGTACTAGAAAGTGTTCATGTTAAATACAGGCTGCTGCCCAACTGTGACATGCCTCTCCTTTATTTCAGCATCCACTAGGATCTATGATTTGGGTCATTAGTCGAGTGGTTAAAAATAAAACAGACTGAAACTTTCTTCTTTTGGATGTCACAACTAAGAATTTGTCTGTGGGCAGAAATGTCTGATGTTTAAAAATTAAACACATGTCAGGGGAGAAACACTTCATTCTTCCTTCAGGAAAAATCTGCAAACCAAGATTGTTTCCCTGACATGGAAGATCAAGCTATAAGGAAACACCTTAAACATGACACAGCTGTGTGAATGCATCAGGTAGATTTCTCCTACTGTGTGGAAACATACACTGCACCAGGCTAAAAAAAGATCAGGAGGGACACTATAGAAGAAAAAGTGCTGTTAGCTGCATTCCTTTTCCAAATGGAAAAAGCCCCCATACAAACAAAAATCCCATCATCCAAATTAAACTTATGTGAGCACAGCTCATTGTCACTAGCTCTGCTCTGCTGACAAAATGAAACCTCAAAAGCATCAAGAATTAAAATTCATTGCAGCACACACACAGAGGGAACACCAAGAAAGAAACTTCTTAGCTGTGTTCTGCAGGAGAAAAAGAAGCATTTCATGCAACACATCGAACCAGGAAACTTTCCTTTTCTATTTAATTAGGTATCAGAAGCCTTGGCCCAGGGGGTGGGAGCTATATTTTGCATATCTGCTTTCTGCCTTCTCTCCCTGATTACCATTTGATGGGATTTATGTTGTTTTTTCTGTGCACCCAGAAATATTATAAACCCGAAACCCCTGCACAGCTTTGGTGTTTGAACACAGCAAACATGCACGCATACACTCTTACTGCTTAGTTGGGCGCCTTAAGTCCCCAACACACATCATACTTTGTAAAAGCATCATAAAGACCAGCTTGGAAACTGTCATGGTGGTAATTCAGCATCATATTTTCTATAATGGCAAAAGACAGTTCAATCTGATCCTTGAATCTGTTGTTAAGAGCTGAATTCCTGCACTGTCATTTGGACTTTCAACTCCAAGTGGGTCTGGGTTAGGTTTCTTTGGTCCATCATTTTTCTAGCACAGAGGAGGAATCCTGAAAAGAGCCTGCAGGAGCTTGGCCTTCTGCATGTGTGTGCTCTGTGCATGGCGAGACAAAGGCAGGCATGTGTCAGGAGGCAAAGACTCCCTCCTTCCCGCATACCCTCCACCTTTCCCCAGGCAGCCATTTCCTCCTGCTCCTTCCCTTGCTCAAGTCCTTCTGTTACAGTGTGTGTGTGTGTGTGTGTGTGTGTGTTTCAGAGGAGGAGAAAGCTGAGAAGGAATTGCTGTTCTTTGTCAGGAGGCAAAGACTCCCTCCTTCCCGCATACCCTCCACCTTTCCCCAGGCAGCCATTTCCTCCTGCTCCTTCCCTTGCTCAAGTCCTTCTG